ATATATATATATATATATATATTAACAACACCTTAAATTGACCCCAGAAGTGACAGACATTTTTAATTTTACAAAAGATTTATATTTCAAATAAATGTTGCTCTTTTGATATTTCTATTCATCAAAAAAATCCTTAAAAATGTATTATTTTTCAACAAAAATAATAAGTATCACAACTGTTTTCAATGCTGATAATAAGACATGTTTCTTGAGCAGCAAATCAGCATATTTGAATGATTTCTGAAGGATCATGTGACACTGAAGACTGTAGTAATGATGCTGGGAAATTCCGCTGTGCCATAATTGGAATAAATTACATTTTAAAATGATTAAAATGGAAAAAGTTATTTTAAATTGTAATAATATTTGAGAATATTAGTTTTTACTGTATTTTTGATTTTTCAAAAACATTCAAACAATTTAATGACCCCAACGTTTAAACCGAACATCAAAAACTCCACTAAAAAACATCTATACATATTCTCTAAATAATAATGTGAGCATCAGAACACACTGTGTATATTAGGAACTCAAACATTTAATTGCAAAATTTAATTGCAGGCATAATAGATCAGTCAAGCCATGACTTCCTTGTTGGCTTAATGGGTGAGCATTTCTTTATTCTCAATCATTAATGGAAGGAATACTGAATGTAGTATGGACACAGAATGTCTCCCTCTACAGGTGAGAGGACAGGAGAGAGCTTTGGTCCAGACACTCAAACAGACGGGCTAGGTATGCTTTTAGACCTCTTAGACACTCCTCCAGACATTCCACCCACATGCCTAGTAACTGACGCTCTCAACAGATCACATGGGACTCGCATTTCAGGTGGATTCGGCAGGTAAGAGTCCAACTCAAGTCATCCATTTTTCACTTAACCAGAGAGGCTTGATGTTTATGGCTTTTGAGCTGCGGACACCAGAATTGCTTTCTGCTGATCTCATTGGCCTTGTAACAAACAGTTAAGTCCCACACTAGTTAAGTTCACTTGATTTACTTTTATGCCCATGCTGTGAAATGGCTCACATACAGCACTAAGAGCCTTCCCTCATTCTGTCCAGCTGTCACACTCTACTAATTATGGGCCGCGCTGACAGAATAAACCAGCCAGATTCTGTTCTCTACCTAATAATTTATTGAAAGACGACTGGTGTGAATCAAAGCTGTCTTTTTTCTCTCACTGGTTCTCCCTTTCAGCTGCTGGCCTGAGTCCAGGGCACCCATCCAGTGGCGGTCCAGTTCTAGACGCTCCTCCAGGTAATGGCTGCTGGCTGCCGCTCTGTGCTCCTTTAGGTCCTGTAAATTTAGAGTGCTTTTACCCCAGTAGCCGTGGGATTATTCCAGCACACGTCTAATAAACTCTGTCAGACTTCCGGTCCTGACATTGGCTCCAAAGGGGGCGAAATGACAACTTTCAGAGGCATTTTTAGTGTCACGAGAGGTCACTGGGGGTTCATGCATCCATATGAATTACACAGACTGATCACTGAAGTCATAACTCAACTTACTGAATGAGTGTAGGAGCTTTTAGATAGATAGATAGATAGATAGAACAACTGATTGAATGAAAGAACGATAGATAGAACGATAGATAGAACGATAGATAGAACGATAGAACGATAGATAGATAGATAGATAGATAGATAGATAGATAGATAGATAGATAGTCATGTCAACATGTCTAGAAAACCCAATCAATTACCTTGCTAACTGTCTCTTGTTCTGTATATCAGATTATCTGTCGGTTGACATTGGGAACGGTGATTATACCCATTCAATCAGTAAGTAAAGTTTACTAGCATTAAATTAGTAATAGTATATTATGTTAACAGAGTCTTTCTAATAATATCTTTCATAATATCTCCAGGCATGTCTGATAATGGAGCCCAATCAAAATCACCAGCTGATACAACAGGTAAACTGATGTTAAACAACATGCTCACCAAAAATCCTGCATGGTCTGGTGGAAAGTGACTTGAAGCGCTGAAACAGAAAGTATGTCAAATCTTAATTCGGACTGATATTTGCAGATTCATCTGTAGTCTTTGACAAAATGTCACATCCGGGTCATTCATTCATAGACTATTCAGGTAAGATAATGCATGGACTCTCATTTTGACGGCATCCATTCATAATGCTAAATTTCTCAATCTGTTTACATTTTCAGCAAATGTTTAACATTAAAATCCTTTAACATTAGTTAATGCAATAGCTAACTAACAACAAACTAACAATGAGCATTATATTTCTTAACGCATTTATTCGTCTTTGTAAATGTTAGTTAATAAAAATGCAATTGCTTGTTGTTTATTCAAAGGGCATTAACTTTGATTTTGAAAATGTATTAGTGAATGTTGAAATGTGTTGTGCAATAATGTTAATGTTAGCTAGTGTTAAAAAAATGTTAATCAACTAACAATAAACAACACTTCTATAGCATTTAATAATCTTAGTTAATTTTAACTAATGTAGTTAACTAATGTTAATGAATGGATCTTTATGGTAAAGTATTACCCCTATTTTCGAAGTCGGTGCGAAGTCGTTTCCTAATGGTTAGAGAGTCGGACTCGTAACCCAAAGGTTGTGGGTTCGAGTCTCGTACCGGCAGGGATTGTAGGTGGGGGGAGTGAATGTACAATGCTCTCTTCCACCTTCAATACCACGACTGAGGTGCCCTTGAGCAAGGCACCGAACCCCCAACTGCTCTCCGGGCGCCGCAGCATAAATGGCTGCCCACTGCTCTGGGTGTGTTTTCACGGTGTGTGTGTGTTCACTGCTGTGTGTGTGTGCACTTAGGATGGGTTAAATGCAGAGCACTAATTCCAAGTATGGGTAACCATACTTGGCCACATGTCACTTCACTATTTTCAATTAAAAACAAACAAATAACCAAAACAAAACAACTGGAGACATGATATTTATCCATTTTGTTGTTCTGCTCAGATGGTGGGGCGGATAACAATGGTGCAGATTTACCCGATACAAACGGTAAGCTCCAGTCAATAATAATTACCTTTCTTTGCTGGAAAATCCAAATTAAACCAGCTGAAGGTTATCTTTGCAAGATTTCCAGCAGAGATTTCATCATACAGTATTGTTTTGACACATAATTCATTACTGCATTACAGAAAATGGAAACGGTCGCCACAAACCTGTGGTAGACATACAGAAAGGTATGTTGAAATGTCTATAAAAACATATGAAACCTATAAACGAGAGAGAACTGCAGTGTGTGTCTGGATTCATTCACAGGTGACCCTCCAGGCGTTCATCTCGACATCAGTATGTATCTAGCAATAAAACACACACAACTAATCAACACACAATCACAACGTCATATTATTGACAGACTAATATCCTGGAATCGATGTGAATATTCCCAAATGTCTTTCCGAACAGGCGGAACAGGCCATCAGGACGCAGCAACGGAGATGCATCACACAGCTGGTACTATATCACCCGGTTCTATGACATCACTGAAAGTCAATTGATTTGTTAGCCATAATTCAATTTTTATGCGTCTTCTCTTGGCTAGTCTGTCTATAATGGTGGGGTTGTGTGGGTTTACCAAATGCTTGTGATTAATACGGAAAATATTTCTCATGGCAGGTTTAAAGCCATGAAATCAAATATCAGAGTTTTGTGGCTTTTAGTTCACAGCACATCTATATGCTAGTGTACTCCTGAAAGTTGACACAATTCATAAATATGCACCTTTAAAATAACTATTTAAATAAAATTTGACATAACTAATACTTATTGGCTATTAAAAAGGGGCGTGCTCTCTAATATGATCCTACAAATATCCTGATTCAACAAGAAATACATCAGATTACAAAATTGCTTGTCAGGTGACTCTACGGGGTCTGTAACATAGCCAATATTTTATAACAAACAATTTAATCAATAGACAACTGAACTGCAATCAGTAATTTGCTAATGAACAAGATAAGGCTTGACACTACAGGCAAAACCATTCATTTTGTGCTATTTCACTTCCATAACTGCTTCAGACTATTATACAAAACACATTTAAGAGTTTATTTTATTACCCTTTATTTGCATCTTTGGATTTCAATACATATCGTTAAAGGCCATTTTCTCATGCACTTACACATACACCAAACTTAACATTTTTATTACCATCTAGATTTTGAAGGTTTTTACAGAGGGGGTTGTTTATATGTAATGCGCCTGATTTACAAAATTGTATTCCTAAAAAGATTTTTTTCTGGCTGTTGACAGAATTTTCTGATTTATGGAGGGGGGGGGGATTTATTGAACTTTTATCCAAAGTTCAGATTTAGATAATGCCTCATTTGCATATTTAAACAACATTTCAGAAAACAAAACACTTGCTTTTTGCAATTAATCAACTGGGAAGTACAGTGATATCTATTATTTAAAATGTTTACCCTAAAAATCTAAGGTATTGGAGAAGACAAGACCAGTTAGTTAAAAGTGGCTGTAAAACATCAGCTCCAGTGGCGTAGATGGCTAAGCGCTTGTTGTTGGCTTTTTGCCGCGATCGACCCGGGTTCGATCCCGCCTTTTGCCGAACTTTTTTTTTCTCCCTTTTCAAATCTCGTATCACATTGATTTGTCGTTGTGTTTTCTGACTTGTTATTTTGTTTTCGAATTTGTCATTGTGTTTTCTGACTTGTTATAATGTTTTCTGAATTGTTGTTGTGCTTTCTGAATTGTTTTTTTTTTTTTTAGACTTGCATTTGCTTTTGTCATTTATTTTGTTTTCAGAATTGTGATTTGTTTTGCACTTCACGGCCACCGTAAGAATGCCTTGAGATGAGCTCATCAAATAATACTATCCAAAATGACTTGAAAAATACGTTGACTAAAAATATAGGCCTACCTTTATTTCAGTGAATACTGAAAAGTATTTATAAAATGCAATTAAAGCTTGTTCTATTTATCTCCTTTCAAAAAAAATGTTCTTGTTGCTGTTATTTTCAGTTGGTGCGCTTGATCTAAACGACCACACTCTCAGTCCCTACACTGACACGATTGGTAAGCAAACGTACGGAAGCCTGTTTCCGTCATGGATTAAACAAATAAAAAAGGTTGTTAATTGTGACTTTTTATCTCACAGTTCACACTTTCTCACAATTCTGAGGGGAAAAACGGTCAGAATTGCAAGATATAAACACAGAAGTCTGATACCTTCTCACAATTCCGAGTTTACATCTCGCAATTCTGACTTTTTTCTCTGAATTCTAAATTTACATCTCGAATATTTTAAAAGTATTTGTATGTAAAGCACTTTGAATTACCATTGTGTTTGAAATGTGCTGTATAAGTAAACTCGCCTTGCCTTCTCAAAGGATTTGACGGTGTCACTGGTGCAAGGGCGCAGACAGATATGGCCGGTATTATCTTTGATATTTTACCAAACATATTTTAGAAATACACCATGAATGAGTGTAAAAGCAGCATTGGTCTGTGCACACGTACCTGTAATAACGGAGCTGATATTGTGATCAGGAGCAGCAGGTGATCCAGTGACTGACGGACAGACTCTAACAGACATGACAGGTGAGTGCAACACATTATGCAAAGGAGTAATTAAAATAAATATGAAATATTTATAACATGCGGTTTCCTGTTATTCAGGGCAGGGACACTTAGCTGTGACAGACGGCATGCCAAATTACACAGGTAACCATGTTTCCTAAGCACATCCAGACACATGTCAGTCTAGCACTCATGCGAGGGTTTCACGTGTAGTGTGTGTTTCTGAAAAGCAGATTCTGTGCGTGCGACTGGGACTGGATTTACAGGTGAGTGACCTTTAGATTGTATTAATAAATCCGACTGAGCAAGGCACAGATAATATAAATGGTACGTTAAGTAAATATGGGTATGAATATATATGCAATAATGATCTGAAGTAACAAACTATGATTTTTATTTTGCCACTTCAAATGTTCGTGTCAAACTTTCAGATGCCTCAGAGACACATAGTAGCATGGTTCAGACAGACTTACCAGGTAAATTACGTTTGAAAACATCTGCCTCATCAGGTGAACTAACCATCCAGGTAAGCTGCCCTTATAAAAATGTACCATGGTAAACGTAGTTTCTGCAGAAAGAGTGACAAAGATACTGAAAGCCTGTTTGAAGAAAATTCTATCATTTTACAGTACAATAACAAAGGTATTTTGATGGAAACTATGATTATCAAGGTCAATTTTTGCAAGGGGTTGCTTACAAAGCAGAAATTGTGTCAAAAGTTTATTAAAAGTTACAAATGAAACAAACCTTTCTTAAACTCAACTCCAGTCACAGGGGATCCATTCACAGGGGTTTCCTCACAGACAGATGCCATGGGCACAGGTGGGTGACACACACACACACACACACATATATTTTGTACACACTATAAGGAAGAGATATATTCTCAATTTTTTACATTTTTATTTTTAAGCTACAGCTGAACCTCAAGGGACTCTCGGGAGTCCATGTTTTTAACATATCTGAAGGGGGTCTGAATACTTTCCGTACCCACTGTATATACATACATACCGGTCAAATGTTTGGAATAATAACAATTTTTACAATGTTTTTGAAAGTGTGTTTTTTTTAATGTCTCTTAATATAATAAAAACTGTGTGTGTGTGTGTGTGTATATATATATATATATACCAAGTTCTGTCATGAAACTCTAGATGGCGCAGGCTGATGGGTCCTTAACCTAACTGATGATATTCTTAGCGTTAAATGACTTGTCACAAGCTGATTGGTTCATGTTGCAAACGCAGCCAATGAGCTTACTGCTTTACATTTAAATGGCTGATTAGCATTCACTTGAGCATTGCAGCGCGCTTTCAGAGTTCCTCTAAATCCCTCTACCTTCCCCAGCTCCACCTGTATAGATCTGCTATGGGTTATTTTATATGCTATTTGTGCAACAGCAGTATGCCTTAAATATTCACAAGCACCATATCGCCTTATGTATTGGCAGTAGCAAGTTCCTGTACTTGCTTGCAGCAGCAATAATCTACAAATGCAATAACCAACAGCAGCAGCAGCAGTCAGCAGTTTAACAGATCTATTCCACCAAGACCTAATACATTAACATTGTCATATCCATTACCATGCTAACATTTTCAGAGAGTTCTTATCATAGAAATATATATATATGAAATGTATGAATCACACTAAATCTCTAAACCTGCTTTACCTGTTAAACTGTATATTAAAGTAACAAACAGGGTAAATTCATCAAATCAGTTGTTAACCTGTTTTTTTCTCTTGTAACAGGACAACCTGGTGCTACGGAACAAACACAGACAGCTGGTAAGCTTCATGGGAGTTCAAAACTCCTTCACTTCAATCACATGATTTATGATTCATTCTGATGATCTCTTGCTTTCACCTCAAAGCCATGTCAAACCTGTCAAAGAAACGTATCATTCATAAAACTTAATGAAGAACAATTGTAGAATAGAAATGAAATAGTGAATACCTTACAAATAAATTCATGTCTATGTCTGATTGAGATGCAGAAATTTTAGTGTCTCCTGTGCTGATGAACAGATGCTCAACAGCTCTTCTCTTTTCTCTGTTTTGCTTGTTCTGTCCAGTATCAGCAGGTGAACAGTACCACACATCTGGTCAGGGTCCTGAAGGTGGGTCTGAAATTCTTCATGCAGACTGTTCATGTTGAAATATCGGTAAAATTCATATATTCAACAGAAACATAACAAAACAAATGGCCCAAATCATCTTATAAATATTATGTTTTACCCATTCATCCTTAATAGAAATATATTATGTATCTTATTTTAAGACACACTACCCCTTCTTTAAAAGTTTGGGGTCAGTAATTTCAGTAAAATCAGAATATTAGAATGATTTCTGAAGGATCATGTGACACTGAAGACTGGAGTAATGATGCTGAAAATTCAGCTTTGCATCACAGGAATAAATTACTTTTTAAACTATATTCAAATAAATTGTAATATTTCACAATATTACTGTATTTTAAAAACTAAATACTGCCTTGGTAAGCATCAGTGACAAGAGAAGAAACAATCTTACTGACCCCAATGTTTTAAACAGTAGTGTACATGAGGGACAGAAAGCACATAATATGAACGAATTTCGGTTTCGTGTTTAATGAAAGATGCTCAATGAGTTTGGACACCAGACTGAAAGCTTAAATCAAAACTTTTCTGCTAACAAACGTCTGTCCTGCTAGTTTGGCCTCAATGAACTGATCTCTGCGCTTTTTGAAAGGTGCAGAAAATGTGGAACTGGAAGATACCTGCTGACTTCCACATGAAGCCGCAAGTGAGGTTTCTGCGCTACAGATTTCAGTGTACGGACCCGTATGCCTGGCAGAAGAACCGTGAACCCGCCCGCTAGACTTTAGCTCTCCGTTGTGTGTGTGTCCGTTTGTTTTATTTTTGACTATTTAAACATTCAGAGGATACTGTAACTTAACGTTTTATTGTGCCTGTTAATAAAAGTGCCCTGTAAGTATTTTATTCATTGGTACGATGAAAGAAAAATCAAAGGAGTCAAATGGAGAAGGAAAAAAAAATCACGATTTAACGTATTTGCTTTGTAAATTCAATGGTTGTTTTCCCCCATAAATGTCGCCACTGTATTTTCTTGCCTAGATGTTTAAGCAATGTTCTTTACAAATGTCACAAATTGTATATTGCTGAATGTATGTCACTCGAAGATAATCTTTACATTAAATTGAACATCTATTTTGAACATCATATTAAAATATTTGTCATTTTACCTGAGAAAACGCATAACTTTGTGGAACCAGTTCAGAAACAGGTAGCCTATTTGGAAAATGGCAAGTGGTCTAAGGTTGTCTAACAACCCTATAGGTTAAAGGGCAAGTTCGCCGAACTTTGTATTGTTACAATGTCGGCAGTATGTGTTAATAAACAATGTGTATTATTTTTTTATGTTGCCTGAAACAAGACGTTCCCGTTTATTGTCATACAGCGGGCTTTAGTGAAAACTACAGATTGCACTTTCGCGTTTTTGTATCTCTGTTTAGGATAGACTGGTCAAGCCAAGTGCATTATGGGTGTTGAAGTATTCCTAGCTATTTTTTCGCCACAGCCCTTTTGTTTTCTCTAGTCAGGGAGCATCATTTTAATATATATACAATAATATATATATATATCTACTGCATAGACAGTGGACATTTAGTAAAAAAAAAAAATATATATATATATATTTACAAACTTCTAAACAAGATTTATTTAGACCAGCTAATGACCAACTAGAACCCATGAAAACCCAGCTACAATCAAAAGCTTGATTTAACAGGTTCTAGCAAGGTAAATAAAAACCAAACTACTTCCAAATACTTTCAAAAACATTTTATTTGAAACATATCAATACACAAAGTGTTGTTTACATGCATAATAAAATAATTTATGCCCAATATTAATGTCTCTCTGGCTATGACAGTCATCTAATGACTAAAATGTGACTGAAAATGACCAGAACCATCAACCAGTGACATTCCTCTCCCAGTTCCTCTACCGCGCTGACCATCCAAAAATAAACAAGTGTTGAACGATAGAAGTCTATAGGGCATAGCATGTGTACAAATCGCACCAAAAAATACAATTTCAATTCGCTATGTTGGTATCCAATTTAAACGTTAATCTCACAAATAGGTCCCATTTGACCCAAAATCATGACAAAAATATATTTTAAATTATATTTTCTTTGATATTTTGCTAAAGGAAAATGAAGCCTATTTTTAGGACCTAGGGGGGAAAAAAATCATCCACAATCGCCCAAAAATTGGCTTTATTTTCTTTAAAATGTTTTATTTTCCTTTAGATTTTAAGGTGAAATATGCCCAGACAAGGTCTTAATAAGATTCGCCTATTATATTTTCTAGTTCCTTTTGCTAAACAAACAAAAACAAAGGGGGAAAAAACAAAGTAAGAGATTAACAAAGCAGTGTGTTGCTGTCAAAGCTGGTTAAGAGTTGAATTATTGCACAAATTCTTCAAATCAGATCAGATCATACACCTATATTGTGTAATTCATCCCTGTTGAATGTGTTTTCAAAGTCTGAAATGAATTTGTTTCATCAAAACAAATGCACAGACTCTCAACTATTTATATATTTAAACATATATCCTATATACAGCATCATAGGCTGTCCTGTTTGTTTCAACGGCAAAAGATTACTTATTTTTGTACAAAAGATTTCATTAAAATCTCTAAATATGCACCTTTAACCCATACCCATACTCATACCCATCATCACTAACCAAAATCAGACCTTATATGATGACTAACAGCTATGGCTTTGAAGACAGTTAGTGGGATGCTGGACAAGTTTACACAACATTGATTTTTGATGCTTGTTTCATGTTTGTCCGATTAAACCAACTGCATTTTCTGGCTATAAAAGGTGCACGTTATGTTTTTGTTTTTGCTTTAACTTCAATATCAATGAGATATTCAACCATCATTCCAATATATACTGCAAAGAAAATCTTCTGGAAGATGACTACTTGGAATACTTATAGAGACCTGGGTGTCGAATACAACAATCTGGGGTTAATCGCAACATAATTCGATAAATTCTTAAATCCTAAATGCTTGAGGTTTTGCAGTGGTGACAGACTGCAAGACAATCGCTTAGCATAGATCTCAAAGTATTGGTGCAAAACCAATCAAGATAAATAAATGGTAAGCACACAAAGCGTGGGCGCAAAATTTAGATTTACATCTGTAGCATTACACATTTAGTTTGAGGTTTTCTCACTGCCAGAACAACAAGGAAACTACTGAGCCAACAAATAAAAGCTAATTTTGATGTTTCAACTCCATGACGGAGGGATTTGAAGGAATACTGAATTCTCTCTACTGCTTTTTAGAGATTTTTCCCAGACTCATTGTGAAGGGAAATACCAGAGTAATAATCTAATGGCTAGCCCTGATGTGTTAAATGACCAAAAATAAATTTTTAAAAACCCACACAGATATAAATCCCTTTAGAAAATCTGCTCTCTCTATGATAGTTTGGGGTCTTCAGGGACGGGGGACTGGAAGTTAAAAAAGGAGATGGTCAGGTCTTCAGCTGGTTCTGACCCGAAATACGAGTCGCCCTCCAGCTCCAGAAGCATGGGCAGGTCGGTGGCACTGGTTTCAGTGCTGACGGGGTCGGGAAGAATCACGGGCTGAGACGTGTACTGGACCAGCTGCTTGCCTGAAAACACCATTTGGTCACAATAGTTGCCTAAACACTACACACCTTTTACACCAAAAAATATCAAAAGACTGCAACAGTAAATTTTTTTTTGTAATTTTAACAGTAAAAGACTGTAAAAATGGTACAGGAAAAACCTGTTCATTGGTTGACAGCATGTTTCCATACTATATATGGTGAAAAACTGTAAAATACTGTTACAGATTTTGTAATGAAAAATGATCTTCTTAATTACATCTGCTTCTTGTGACAAACTCTAGTTCATCGTGTGTCTCTTTTACCACCTTTATTATTACGGTGGTTATCAGTATATTACGCAGTTACAAAATAAATGTTATAAATTTAGATGGAATATTAACACTACATTATTTAATAAAATAAACAGTTTTTTTTTACGTAAATTTAATTAAATTAACGCAGGAGGAGGAAATGCGCCGGCGCACTGGTTAAGCTCCGCGAGCGCGGCTTTTGAACTGCGCTCCCAAGCATTCATCTTGCGAATGTCCGTTCCCTTCTTAACAAAACGGATGGTTTTTGAAGCTGCAGCCACCAATATGGATGAGCTCACAGATGTAACTTCATATATCAGTTTCAGTGAGGATATGTGCATTCCTACCAGGTCATTCCTATCACTCAATAATGATAAACAATGATTTACTGGGAAACACAAACAACTACATCGTGCCAAAGAGGATGCTTATAGAAGAGGGGACAAAATCTTGTACAACAAGGCCAGAAACAGACAAACAAAGGAGATCAGAGTGGCTAAAAAAGCAACTCTGAAAAGCTGAAAAAACAGTTGTCAGCCAACGACCCGGCATCAGTATGGACTGTTCTGAGGAACATCAAGTACAAGACACCACCCCCACAGTCTGTGGAGAATCAACAACTGGCTGACGATCTGAATGTGTTTTACTGCCGGTTTGAAAAGCCCAGTCTCACACACCCCACCCACTCTCATCTGCATTTCACACATACACAAAACACCTCCTGCAACCCTCCTCCCCTCTCCTGCCATTCAACCTGCATTTATGGTCTGTGTGGAAGAAAAGAAAAAACAGAAGACAAGGAAAGCTTCAGGCCCAGACAGTGTTTTACATGCCTGTGTAAAAGTCTGTGCTGACCAACTGGCACCTATCTTTACACAGAGCTGTGTGAAGTTCCCTGCTGCTTCAAACGTTCCACTATGATTCCGGTCCCCCCAAAAAAACAAAATCACAGGACTTAACGACTACAGACCTGTCGCTCTCACGTCTGTTGTCATGAAGTCACTTGAGAGACTGGTGTTGGCCTATCTAAAAGACATCACTGGACTCTTGCTGGATCCTCTTCAGTTTGCGTACAGAGCAAACAGGTCTGTGGATGATGCAGTAAACATTGGACTGCATTATATTCTACAACATCTTGATAGACCTGGGAATTATGCAAGGATCTTGTCTGTAGTCTTCAGTTCGGCCTTCAATACCATCATGCCTGACCTTCTCTCAGACAAACTGACTCAGCTCTCTGTGCCCTCTCCAATCTGTCAGTGGATCACCAGCTTCCTGACAGACAGGCAGCCGCAAGTGAGGCTGGGTGAACTCACATCCAGGACTCTCACTATCAAAACTGGCGCCCCTCAGGGTTGTGTGCTCTCCCCACTGCTCTTCTCCCAGTACACCAACGACTGCACCTCTAAAGACCCCTCTGTCAAGCTCATGAAATTTGCAGATGACACTACCATCATCGGCCTCAGACACAATGGAGACGAGTCTGCGCACAGACAGGAGGTTAAAGAGAAGGCTGTCTGGTGTAGTCAAACAACCTAGAGCTGAACACGCTCAAAACAGTGGAGATGATCGTGGACTTCAGGAGGAACCCCCCTGCACTCCCCCCACTCTCCATCATGAACAGCACCTGTGGCTGCAGTAGTCATTCAGGTTCCTGAGCACCACCATCTTTCCGGACCTGAAGTGGGACAATCACATCGACTCTATTGTAAAAAAAAAAAAAAAAAAAAAAAAAAAAGGCCCAGCAGAGGCTGTACTTCCTTCACCAGCTGAGGAAGTTCAACCTGCCACTGGAGCTACTGAAACAGTTCTACTCAGCCATCGAGTTCGTCCTGTGTTCATCTATAACTGTCTGGTATGGCTCAGCTATCAAATCAGACATCAAGAGACTACAAAGGACAGTCAGGACTGCTGAGAAGATTATTGGTTCCCCACTGCCCAACCTCCAAGATCTTTACACCTCCAGAGTGATAAAAAGGGCTAAACAAAGCCCACACAAAGCACCGACCACTATAACAGCTAGGCACAAGAACAGTTTCTTCCCGCAGGCTATATTCAGCTTGAACAATTAAAACTTTCAGAACATCACATTGTCCATTATAACTGACACTTTTATACATAGCATCTGAATATTGTACATTTGTAAACTACATAAACTGTACACTTGTAAATAACATATCTGTATATTAATTAAAACAATGATATATGTTTTTTCTCTATATTTCTACTTCTGTATTATATTGCATTATTTAATTTTCTGCTTTTCTTATATTAGTGTTATATTTTATCTAACTGTGTAATTCCTATGTATGTCTGCACTATCATGTATGTTTGCACTATGTCTGTACTTTCTTCTGCACTGGTAGCTCCTGTCACCAGGCCAAATTCCTTGTGAAAATATTGCTACCATATTTTTTTTACGGTAAAATGGTGGCAACCATGTGTCGTTTCTTACCATATATTTTTTGGGGTTAATTTATTTATTAATACAGTGTATGTCTTTGCATTTTAAAACAAAATTTTAATTTTCAAGCACCCTAAATACCTGAATTTTCAGAGTCACCAGATTCAGTTTCTTTCACAGGTTCAGGTGACAGAAGGTCCTGGATCTGTAAAAAGACCACAGATGTATGATTAACTAAGACAAGCAATATGCAGATTTCTGGAGTGCTCACCACGTCTGAAAAATTAAGATGTTAACGTTACTTCCCACACAACTTATGCTTTTATGCAAAGTGAAAGTAAATCGCATGAACAGGTATTAACCCTACAGCAATCTGCAGTTAAACCATCTTTACTTCTAGTGATCTGATAAACATCTATCATTTGAAACCCTGTTAAATATTTTCCGTTAAACAGATCAGACGAGTTTGTTTGAAGTCTTTGCATTCTGTTCATTCTGTGAGTCGTGGTTCTTCTGCAGCTGTTAGACACTGAACTTTCTTAATCACACAAGCAGTCTGCTTTCTCAGTGTTATCTCTGTGCTTTATATTTTCTATATACAAAATTATAGCTGAAATAACTATATAAATAATAAATAACAATATAAATAATATATAAATTACAAAAGAAAAAAAAGATTAATAAATAAATAAAACTTACACTAGCCAGGCTGTCCAGATCCATATCAATAGAAGACGATGTGAAAATCTGCGAAACACAATACAATAACAATAAATAATAGTACATTATTCAACAGTACATTATTTAAATGTTTTACTTTACAGCATTTATACACTCATACATACATGAATTGTATACGAAAAAAATACAATTATTAACATAACAATAAAAGATCTATTATAGTTTTTCTTTTTTTAAATATCAATTTCACTTAGTTCTTATATTTGGTGTTCAAGACTGAAACAATATTTACATCAAAGAAAGGCGAGGTTTCGAAGTTAATGGACTGAGCATTGAGGATATGCTGAAGGCTGTCTAACCCAGAGTCAATCGTCTCTAGATGATCACTTAGTTCTGCCCTGTGGTAGAAAGAGAAAGCAAAGAAAATCATCTCTCAAACTCCACACACAAACCAGCCAGTTCCACTCTCCAAAAACCACTCTCATTTAATGTTTACTTCTACAAAAGCAGCCAATAAAAATCTGCAATTTCACTTCAGCAATAACAGGAAGAATTTCCTATAAAACACTCCTATTAAAAACGGGAGAGAGGCCGGTCCCCAGAAAGATCAAAACTGTGATGATGATGACACAGAGGGAGGCGGAGCTGCTGACCTCATCACATTAGTATCCAACCAAGGGTAGGAGGGGAACAGGGGTCAAAGGGCGATTGGGTAAATGGAGGTTTCAATGAGAGCACAAAACATGTGTCTTGGTTCAAATGCCATGCCACACTCCACACTGTCTTCCCACTAGACATCATAAATTGTGCGATCATGCCGTTGCACTTCTCAAATTAAGCTCAAGAGCTCCCGAACGCCCTATTTTCACTTTCTACACCCTCCAGCACAACTACTGTTGTTTTTAAATGTGCTCTAGAAATAAATTAAACTTGAAACTTGAGCAGACAAGCTAAGCGCGGTTAACGTCTATGTGATTCAGCACAGCGTCAAGTGTTCTGGGGACGGATTGGCCAACTGAAATGCTGACCCGGAATGAGGCCTGAGGTGTAGAGACGAGGCGGAGAAGCTGGAGAAAAGGCGAGAGATCTCAGACATCTGAGGATAACTGGAAAGACAGAAGCACAACATGGCACTGGAGACAGCAGGGGGCACTACACACATCAACAGGCCTCTGCCACAGTCAAAAACGGTGCTGTTTTAGGGGGAACGGAAACTAGAGCCAATGTAGGTGGGGGTGAAGTACAGATCGTTCTGAATTGGGGTTTTATTGAAGTCCAGGTGTTTTGAAGCCACCAGATATTGCCGAATGGTTATAAAGATTGGTGTTCTTGAACAAACCTCAAAATATTTTCTTTTAATAAGCCCTAGTTTTATGTCTTCAAACCAATCTGCAAAGGTGAGCCACCGGGAATATAATTGCCAAAACCAGCTAACTACATATTAGTCCTAATTTTCAAAGAACACTTTGAAAATTAGACTAATTACATTGGATTTGCACAGTAACTTGAACTTGCAGACGTATGAACTTAAGTTCAGCAAGCAGTGTGATTTTGTGTATGCTAGTGCTTTCACGTCATGGGTTTTATTCATTTACCAAACAACAATCAAGTACACATTAGCTTACACTTTAATTACTCATAAAATAAAAGGGCCCTGAATTTAGTGCCATAGGGGCCATAAGATGACTTGAATATGAAATAATGCACTGGCTTATATGAATATCTGGAAAAGTATTAGTATTACTCACTATGCCAGTCTGCACTGAGCAGCCAAATGCCACAAATAAGTGCAGCTGAAAAATTAGTTAACGGCACTGATTCTCCTGGGACATTTTAAAAAAAGGACCTGCTCATTAGTTTTTTTTAGCTTTTCTGATTGATGTGGAAATGGACAGTTCACCTAGAAATGAAAATCCTGTCATTAAATACTTACCCACATCATTTAATACACATAATTATTTTGTACAAAATTCAAAAGGAGCAATCTAGAATAAAGTAGACGATGCTCTTTTCCATACAATGAAAGTGGACGGTGACCATAGCTTTCAAGCTTTAAAAATGACAAAACAGGGTTATTTTAGCATTAATGACACACTAGTATAGTTTTTGTTGATATTTTGAATTCGATTTTATTGTTATTATATTTGATTTTCACATTAATTTAGACATTTTATTGTGTTTATTGTATTTTTATTTTATATAATTTTAGTTATTTTAGTACTTCAAGGTTAACTAAACTTAAATAAGAAATGTTGCCTTGGCAACTAGCTGAATTAAAAAAGTTTTTGATATTTTATTTTATTTCAGTTAACATTTATTTAAAGTAATGAAAATGTTTCATTACATTTTTCTTTATATTTAGTTTTAGTTAGTGAAAACATCCCTTGGACAAAAAAAAGCACCATGAAGTGTCATAAGTAGTGCATTCAGTTCATTCTTTTGAAACCATATGATCATTTTGTGTGAGAACAGACCAATAATTGTTCTGCAATTCTTCTTTGCAATTTCATGTTCAAAACTGCTGTTTGTGATCAATCTGAGAATGTTTTGTTTGCATACAGAATCGATACACACTAGAAGATCAAAGACAGACACCGTAGAAGATCAAAGAGAAGAAACTATGTGGCATGAAAGGGAACTATGAGAATAGTGTTACTCAGTAAAGGAAGACTGTGAACTTAAACTGAGCAGAGAAGCAGTAGCTTTGTTTGTCCTAAATGGATGTACATTTGCTGGTAAAACTCACTTGTCCAAGCAGGCCAAGCTCAGACACTTCTGGTCATTGGGAGGCGGGGTCAGGCCGGTGACAGGCTCGCTCTCTTGGAGGATGGAGTTGATGAAGGTTATAGGGGAAAGGGGCATGTCCACAGGTACACCTGATCCCACCTCCACTTCCACTTCAACAGGACACACCTCCTCCACCTCAGGACTGTGGGCGGGGCTAGAGGGCTCCTCCTTGACATGGACCAGTGGGCTTGTTCTGTGATAAAAAATAAAAAAAAGATGTCAAGACAGCTTCAAGACTTTCAATTTTTTTTTTACATTTTCACATTTTTTTTTAACTCTTACAGTTGATCCATGTCAACGAGGTTGTAACATACAGACTTAGAGGCAAAAACAGCTAAAGAGTCATTAGAAAATTAGTCTCTAGTATTATATATATATACAGTATATATATATATATATATATATACACACACACACACACACACACACACGTATATACAGTAATAAAACTGTGACACAATTGTTTTTTCATTTAGAAAATTGCTTTGCAATGAGGATTTTTAGAAAAAAAGTGCTTATTTGTCATGAAAATGTCACAATGTATTTTTAATGTATCACAGAAACTTGTCCATACTAGATTCACATTTAAATGTACTCTTCTCTCTGTGAGCGTTTACATTTTGCTATAAACTCCACCAATCAACTGGCTTTTTTTACTATTATGTACAGAAATTATACATATATATATATATATATATATATATATAGTGACTTCTTTTGACCCATTTTCTGAAACTTGCCTGTCTTCAATCCACTCCTCTGTGGCCTCAGGATTGGACTGCGCCAGTTCAGTTATATCAGAGATGATTGGCCCCGTCTTGACAGGCGATTCAGAAGTGAAGACACCCGTTCCTGTGAAAGCTGTAGAGGAGGGCTACACACAGGAAAACATACTTTACACTTAGCAAATCTGGAAATCATTGGAATATTCAAGCTCAGAATTTGAGATATAAGCATGCAGTACTCACAGAGAGAGAGGGAGAAGACTCGAGCGAGTACTGCCGAGAGTATTTGGGCATGGAGTGTGTGGAGCTGCCATCATTCAACATCAGGGGCCTGTGAACAAACAGAGAGAAAGAAAGAGAGAGAGAAAAAATCCTCCATAAAATAAAGGGCACAATAGAAGAGGTGAAACGTTAGAATGGACAACAATCACAGTTAACAACATTTCATATACTGTACTACACTACAGTTAAAGGGGTCATAGGATGCCCATTTTCCACAAGTTGATATGATTCTTTAGGGTCTTAATGAAAAGTCTGTAACATAGTTTGGTTAAAATTTCTCAATGGTATTGTAAAAAACACCTTTTTACCCTGTCAAAAACGGCTCTTTTCAGAGCACGCAATTTTGTAGCATTTTCCTTTAAATGTTAATGAGCTCTGCTGACCCCACCCCTCTCTTCAGAGCCGCTTTTAGAGGGACTGTTTACTTTAGCTGCATTCATCGTGAAACTTGCTAATTAGCACATTATTAGGAAAGGCGATTTGTAAAGATTCATTAAAAAAAAAACCTTACACTCACTTCTTCTGTAGGTGAAGCTGGATCACGAATGATTCGC